TGTGATTTGTTCTATTCTGAATAAAATATTAGATGTTGGCACCTCCACATCATTGCATTCAGTTTTTATTCACAATTTGTTTAGTGTTCCAACTTTTTTGGAATCCGGTTTGTATATAATATATAATATATATATATATATATATAATAAATAAATACTAAAATAAACTGCTTACTACTTATAATACTATTCTACTTTGTTTTTCACTTATCACGGGGCTTCAGGGTACGGATCCCCAGCGATAAATGAGGGACTAGTGTACTGCTACTGCTAATTTTGCCCTGTTTATTTTTCCCAATATTCTGCCCTGCTAATGTTGTTTGTTAATGCTAATGTTGCCTAGCTGATACTAATTCTGCACGTGTATGCTAATTTTTCACCTGTTTTTTTTGGCTATTTATGTCCTGCTTGTGCGAATTCGGCCCTTCTTCGTACTAGCATCCTGCCCGGTTACTTCGGTCTGTTTATGTTGATTCTGCCCTTTCCTATGCTAATTCAGACCTGCTTTTTAGCTCATGCTACCCCCAGCTTATGCTAATTCAGCTCTGTTTTGTGCTAGCATTCGACTTTGCTTATGACTCTGCCTATAGTATACCGGTACTGATTGTGCCATGACATTGTGCCCTGTTTCTTCCATTCTGCCGTAACGCTGATGGCTCCACTCTGGTAAAGCTAATTCTACAAATGCTACTTTGCTAGGAGCGGTGGTACAGAAGTTAGAGAGAAGGTGGGCCCGTGATCGGAAGGTCACCGCTTCGACTCCATGCACCGACAACATCAAAATACGGTTGGAACCTGTCTCCACCCTCATTTGCACCACCGTCGGCCCTCGGCCCCGGCCATCTGCTTCCCTGGGCGCCCTAGATGCAGCTCTCTGCTCCACGCAGAGGGCTGTGGTAGCTCGTGGTCTGTGGTTGTGACAGGAAGGACATCCAGTGTAAAAACCATTGCCAGGTCTTCGTGCGTTACGCTGTGGCGACCCCTGAAGAGCAGCCGAAAGAAAAACTATTGTTTTACCAGTGCTAACTCTTCTAATGCTAATTCTGCCCTGTTGTTTTTCAAATGTTTTGCTACTTTTTGACATTCTTCTCATGTTTTCTAGCATTCTACTAGTTTTTCACTACTTTTGGTTCTTCGCTAGCGTTTTCCTGCTTCGCGCTAGTGTTTTGCGTATTGTCTGGGCCAGCACGTTCCTGCATTTATTTTACTTTTCACTTCTTCTAGCTCAAAGCAAATCATTTTTCATGCTCCGTTTGCCCATTTCAGCTAATTTCAGATAATTTTCTTCTTTCAGCTTCTTTCTGCCATGTTCAACTTATTTCTGTATTTCTCGTTTGTTTTCTCTTTTTGCACTTCTTTCAGCTCATTTCCAGTTTTCATCTAAAGACGTATTAAAATAAGCTTTTGTTATTTTTCAAGCAGCAGTCACTACATTTCTGCAGGAAAGACAAAGTTCTCTGGTTGGAGTAAGGCAGCACCTATTATTATCCACATGACAAGGGTTTCTTAGCTTTATTTATTCATATGTGTCTTCTGTCATCTTTAATGCGACCCAAACCACAACTTATATTGAAACGACCAGCTCAGCACAATGTGTGCTATTACTTTTATTGGCGTTTCGAGTTACCATGGTGATGTCATTTGCAAAGAAATACGCCATTTTCCCATTAAAAAATGACAGAACACTCCTGACCCTCTAATTGCATCTCTGAGGTCACATGACCTGGAGTGTAGAGATCCCTGAAGAAATCTTAGAAAGTCACTGTTGGATTTGTTTGAAACTCACATAAAGTATCATCAGATGTTTCTCTAGATTTGATTAACTTTTGGGGCCATTTTGATTCAAGATGGCTGCCACAGCTACCTCAGCAAACACAAAATTGACTATAACTCTGTCATTCTTTGAGATATTGAGATGAAATTTAGTATGGTTGTAGCTGAGAGCGAGTTGTTATACATTCCTAATGCAAATCAAATATCCAAGATGGCCTCCTGAGCTAAAAGAGAAAAACATATGAAAACTCAGCCGTTGTTAGAGCGGTTCAGCTGAAATTTGGTGTGTTGCAATCAATACTCATTTCAAATAAAAAATTCAAAATGGCCGTCAAAGCTACATTTAAAAGGTTTTAACACAGATGTTTTTACACAAATAGAGCTAAAATTTGATGAGGTTGTTGTAGTTGAAAACGTCCATCACATGCTGAATACAAATCAAAAATCCAAGATGGCCTCCTGCGCTAAAAAGGGTAAAACACAATAACTCAGCCATGTATAGCACTATTCAGCTGAAATTTAGTTTAGTGGTGCCTGAGAGCGAACCTCAACGTGTAGTAATACATTTTTATTTGGCAGCAGCCTGGCAGTCCCCGTCAAAGTTTCTCCAGGAACTTTCCAGTTATTTCTCTTGTTAACGTGTTTTTCTTTCACTTTGTCCTCGTAGAACGTGCACCTGTGTCTGAGTCTCCTTCCTGTCCTCTCCAACCCCAGCCCGTTGACAGATGGCTGCCCATCCTGAGACCGGTTCTGCTGGAAGTTTTCTTCTTGTTAAATGTGAGTTTTTCCTTTCCACTGTCGCCTGTGTGCTGCTTAGAACGAGAGATTGTGACCAAGATTCAATGCTGGCTTCGTGAGAAAACGTTTAGTGATCGGCATTTTATAATGCACGTGAATGTTTTTGTGCAGTGCGCTGAAATGCCCTTCGTTGTGAATCGATGCTATAACAATAAAAAGTTGAATTCGACTACTTGTTTCTTTTGATCTCCTGTCAAAGAGCCAGACTGGTAAAATCTCTTCTTTCTGAAACCTCAATGTAGAAAATCCGGTTCGATGAACAGATAAATAATTGTTCTACTGGTGGCATCTGTTCAAACACGAGGAAGACAGACGCTCCAGATGTTTTGTTTTGTCTTCATGAAAATGACAGGAAGGAACCAGGAAGGACTCTTGGCTGATAAAACCAGCGGCTGCTTTCGTTTCTTCTCACTGGACACGAGCTGCGCTTGAAATTCCTCAGACAGGTAACGA